AATGGGGGCTGTGTACAATGGAGACGGTGGTGGCGGCTGAGCAGGAGGATGAGCAGGAGGAATGGGAAGAGGTTCAGGATGAGTATGAGAAAAAAGGAGGTCGAGGAGGAACAGCAGCAGCAGGAGGAGGAACAGGAGCAGGACGAACATGGGGACGAGGGGAAGGCGGAGGAGGAAAGGAGTGGGGCAACAACTCGGATCCAGAATCGTGGCCCGCGCTGGGGCGAGGGTGCCATGTTGAACGACGGGGGCAACGCGTCGATCCTGAGCCGAAGCGAACGCTGCAGCGGGAGCACATTGTTGAACCACTGAGAACGATCATAGCGAAGCAAGAGACGTATTAACCCTCGCCTGTTGGAAACAGCATGCTGGAGTAGATTTGCCCCGCTCGGACAGATTCGGGGGAGAGGTGTGAGTCGAATTCGTATCGAGTAGTTGTGGAAGGTGATGTTCCAGGCCCCCCTCGCGCCGCGAAAGCAGCCTCACCACGGACGGTGCTCGGCCAGCTTGGGCTTCCGGGGGCCCTCGCCGGGCCCCGGGACCGAACGAGCGACGCGGGATGGAAAGTTGGTCCCGGACAAGGGGTCCGACCTCCAGGTGTCCACGTTGTGAAACCAGCACGGCGTTGGGGCTCCAGAGTTGGTGGAGAATGAGGAGGAGGAAGAGGGAGGAGTGTGGACGAGGAGGAGGATATGGGTGAACGTCATGGTCAGAGAGGAGTGAGGGACCAGAGTCAACCTACTACCCTCGACACAGTTAATCTCTGAAGTGTGTCACGCAGTTTCCTTGCCGCGCGTGCAAGGTACTTGTTGGCGCCCCCTCTTCAATGTCAGCCATCGTGTAACTTCGAGTCGCATCCGCACCGACCGAGCTTCGTTCTGCTTCGACACTGACAGGGGGGGCAGCATCGGATGGGTGATAGTGGACGGTACTGAGTTGGCGCGTTCACCATTTTTGAGGTTCATACGCGCTCCCGTCGCAAGGCCCCTCTGCAGAAGTCCCTGCATGCATTCTTCCGTAACGCGGGAAGCGCACCGAGCGCCTTCGGTTCTGCCGCCTGCCTGCGCTTTGCCCAGTCAGGTGCGAGCCCCAGAGGAAGCGCCCGCCATCATTTTGGTAACACGAGGAGCCAAGAGGCAAAAGCAGACAGTCCGAGAGCCTTGTTCTGTTGACAGGAGCCGCCGTCCATCCGTGCACAAGCTGAAGCAGTTCCAGAGCAATGTGTGTGGCGTTACCACGAGAGCCACAGGATTGGAACCCACCCTCCATACGTCCATACGCTTGTTTGAGGTGTTGCGTGGCTCTGAGGCGAGAGGCACACTGTCGAACGATTCGCCCTCCATCCGGGCAGCCGCTCCTAGTGCCAAGTCGGGCTTGCCCCTCTACAGGAGGAATATTCAGAAATAGTCAAAAAATAGTCTGGGGACGATTTTGTTTGACTATTTTTGACCATGTTGGAGCATGTTGGGGATATTCTTATTTCTTCGCCCAAGATCCCCCCTGCAGGGGGACGGGCCCGACCCAGTCCGAGTGGGAAGCGCCACAGCGCGCGTGGCCCTCGGGTGACAGCACCCTGCCTTGGAGCTGACTCGCCCAACATTTTGGAGGTATGCTTCACTTCTCGCCCAAGATCCCCCCTACAGGGGGACGGGCCCGACCCAGTCCGAGAGTGAAGCGCCACAGCGCGCGTGGCCCCCCGGGTGGCAGCACCCCACCTCGGAGCGGCCCCGCCCTCCGCCCGTGCAGCCGCCGCACGGCGCGGGCGGCGGGGCGGGAGCCGGAGGTGCCGGCGCGCGCGGTGCGACAGCGGGGAGGCGTCCGAGGCATCCCGTGGAGGGCTTTGGGGTGCTCCAAATTTGTGTACGTCTCTGGGGCAGCGATCGTGCATGTCTGTAAAGCAGGCCATTCCGGGGCGCACGGCCGCCCATCACACTCAAATCCTTGATTGTCAACGGGGACAAGTCCACCCCGACCCCCACAATCGGCGTTTACTAAAAACGGCCCCGTGCGTTGACGAAACAACGCTTTCTTGTTCGATTCCTTCGCCGGGTGCGTTTACTAAACGGTTGCGTTGTCGGGGTGCTTATTCTCGGGGTGGATCTCCAGCCCCCTAGATTAATCGACCCCCCCTAAAAAACCAGACCCCCCGCCAAATGCGACTCAATAAATGGGGTCAGTAGATGGACAATAGATTCGAAACCTTACACGTTCGAGGGAGATTCTAAATCACCCCCGCGCCCCCGACATCAAGGTTGGTCTCAGTGCAGGCGGTGCTCTGGGGTTCGAATAGTTCTGTCCACTCACGCCCCCCCCGTCGCCACGCCATCAATATTACTTTCGGGGGGTCTCGGTGGCATCTTGGGCCAAAGGGTTCGAACATTATGTCCATGTACGGTATTCCAAATCCCTTACGAATCGACCCCTAAAGCCGGACCCCCCTCCAAATGCGACCTAATATTCCGGACCCCCCTCTCCGACGGGGCGCCTTAATAAACTGGACCCCCTAAGTTCCAGTCCAAAGAAAGCGCCCTAATAAACTGGACCCCCCCAGTTACAAAAAAGGCGCCTTAAAAAACCGGACCCGGGGGACGACTAATGAGGGCTTTGGGGTAGGGGCACAGTCGGGTCTGATGAACAGGTCGGCCCTGCAACACGCACGTGCCTTCTGTCCTGTCCGACCGCGCCTCTTTCCCTCTTTCCCTCTCCCTGCGGGGGACATGTACTGCCCCCAGAAGAGACCAGTGCCCTGACATGTCAGGTGCCTGCTGCAGTCACTCCCGACTGCACGGCCGGTGGCAGCTCCTTGGAGGTCGAATTCAGCATCGGCGCTGGTGCTTCGGTGGCCGAAAGCCAGTCTCAAACGACGCGACGATCGGGACAAAATCGGATCGGGATAACTCGAAATCTCTGAGAATCGGCGGGTTTGGAGGATGTACTGGGCGCCGCGGCCGCTCCAGAGCGTTCCGGAACGCTCTGAGAGCGCTCCGGAACGCTCTGGAGCGATTTATCCCGATCCTAGCCCTGTTTTACAGTCTTACCTGGCCAATCCACATGATCCTGGGTTGACCCTTGGGCCCAACCTGGGCTGATCCGGCTCGGCGGCCCCTCGATCTGGCCCAACAGTCTGCAGTCGTCACCACGAAGATCTCCCAGGAATGGAATCCCAGCGAGGGGATGGGGGTCCGAGCGAGGGCCGCTCAGCCTCAAGCAGAGGCGAAGCGTACTAGCTCGCCTATAGGCCTACCAAGGTATGTTCTAAGAACCTTTCGTGGCCTCCACGACATGCTCTTAGAGCACTTCTGGCTGAGACTGTCTTGTCTTAACACATCGGGCTCATGTTCTGAGAACATTGCTTTGTTCTTAGAACATTTGTGGGGTTCTAAGGATGAAGTCGGGCCTGTCCCTCTACAGGTGGAAAATTCAAAAATAGTAAAAAAAAAAAAAGAGTCGGGTGACGATTGTTTGAACTTTTTGTTTTTACTTGTTCGCCCAAAATCCGCCTGTGGGGGGACACGCCCGACCTCATTCTAAGAACACTTCGTGGTAGGCCTGCAGGAGTGCCTGGACGGCCGGCCCCTGCTCAACAGTCGGCACCCTCCTCTGCAGGAGCCGAATCACAGCGAGGGGAATCAAGCGGTGGCGAAGCGTCCTGGCTCGCCTATAAGTTTAGGCCTCTAGGAGTGCCCGGACCCCCGGCCCCTGCCCAAAGGGAATCGACTAGACGTAAGAGTGACCTTTCGCCCACAGATGGGCCCCCAGATGGCTGAAAACGAAGCAGGAGCAGCGGCTTGCGCGCCCAGGTTTGGTCCCCCCGCGGCCCCCACAAGAGCCGCGCACCAGAGGTCACTCTTCGTGTAGCCGAGGGGAGGGGATCCGAGCGAGGGCCGCACAGTCGGCACCCCCCGCAGGAGGACCTCCCGGGGAGCGAGCCCGCCGCCAGCGTCCTGGGCGCGCCGGCGGGCGCTCTCGGCGCCTCGGCCACTGGCCAGCTCTGAGGCGCTGGCCCCCCGGCGCTCGCCGTGCTCGAGGGCCCCCGCTCGACACCACTGCGTGTCTTATGTGGCTGGGAGGGGGGGCCTCCTCCTCCTCCTCCTCCTCCTCCTCCTCGTCCTCGTCGTCGTCCTCCTCCTCCTCCACCTTCTCCTGCTCCTCCTCCTCCTCCTCCTCCTCCTCCTCCTCCTCCTCCTCCACCACCTCGCCCCCTGAGTCCACTGCTCCTCCTCCTCCACCTCCTACTCCTCCTCCTACTCCTCGGTGGCTGGGAGGGGGGGAGGGGGGAGGGAGGCTGGCTGGTCGACACCATTGCGTGTCACCGGTGGCTGGGAGCCCAGACCCCCTCGGGCAATGAAAAAATCACGGCGGAAGGTTTTTCGCCATTTTGGCCCCCTCGGGGCCCTCACCGGGCCTCGGGACCGTCAAAAGACGACTCGGGATGAAAATCCAGTCCCGGGGAAGAGGTTCAGACCTCGGGGGGTGGACGTCATGAAAAAATCCTGACGTCGGGGGTCTGGGGAGAGGGGGGGGAGGAAGGCGGGCGAGATCGAAGAGGAAAAAGCCTCGAGAACATTTTGGTGCAGACAGTGGCCTCTCCCAGGGGAGGCGTGGGGGGAGACCTGGGGTGCGTCCGAGGGGGCTGGCTTTTTTCTCTTCGGCGCCCAGCAGGACTGGGCGCGCTGGGCCGGCTCTGGGGGGGACAGGCGTCGGGCATCTCCAGCGGGCAGGCGCAGGTGCGCAGGCGTGACGCCATCTCGTCGCCGCCGCCAGCGCCAGCTCTGCTGCCTCCTGGCATCCGAGTCTCTAACGATGCCCAAACTCCTCGGGGGCACGCTTCCAAATCGGCGGTGGAGTCCTGGGCGCGGTTCGCGTCCCACCACCTGTCGTCCAATAGTGGTAACTTTTTGGAGGCGTGCACCAGCGGGTGCCGCCACGGGGCGGGCCGTCTACCGCCTTCTTGGAAGGCCCCCCCACTCGACCCATCCTCCTGTGCGCACGACCTCTAACATCTTCCGACGCTCGCCGAGCGCGTTCCACTACTTGCAAAGTGCCTACGCGCAACCATCCGAAATATACAGGTCTTCCTCTATGTAATATATCGTAAATCCCCCGCGGCGGATCCAGGCAATCTGCGAGTTGTTCATTTGCGCGTAGTGGGACGCGCCTGTAAAACGCGGAGGGGGGATGGCCGAGCCGCGGGGGGGCCCCGGGCGCGGTCCGCGCCGCCCGGCCCGAGGCCCAGGGGTGCCGTGGCGGGCGGACGCGCCCTCCACGGCCTGGGCGGTCCCCGCGCGCGCGCTGCCATGCGTCAGGAGGGGGTAAACAAAAAACCACAGACACAAGCGATCGCCGATTCCCCAGAAAGCATGGGAACACATGGGAAGCGGGGGGGGAAGGCAGAAACCCAGAACATATGGGGAAGCGTAGGGGGATCCTGTTACTGGTGTGTATTTTTTGTTGTGTGTCCCGGGGCCCCTTCAATGCCGGGGAGAGGTGGGGCAACCTCGGGCATCCGACGGCCGCACAGCATCGGGGCGGCAGCTGTGTTGCCTGCTCGCCGCTGTTGGCTCTGCGGGGGCAGCGCCTGAGCCCCGAGGCCATCCGAGAGAGACTCGGGACGAAGCGACGGCCCCGGGACGGGTTCTCAGCCATGCCCGCGCTGGCGCCCCAGCCACGTGAGCAGCCGGAGCTTGGGCATCGGTAACGATTTGGCCTGTGGAGGCAGAGGCTCCATCCATGCCCCAGCGGCGCGCACAGCGGACGCCAGCAGCGCGGGCATGGATCGGAGATTGATCGCCGACCAGGGGCCCAGGCCTCGAGCAAAACAGGACCGTCGGATGCACGGGGTCGAGGAGAGGATTATGTGGTTCCCATCGCACTGCAGGACCACATCCCAGAAATGTGTTCGGCGAAAGTAGGTTGGGACATCATCAGGAGAGGAGGGGAGTTGAGGCAATCGCTTTCGTGTGTCCCCCAGGCTCCCCCCCGGCAGGCCCGCCGTGGGCCTCCCCGCGAGTGTGGACCTCTGTCCGCCATGCTGGCGAGGCGGTGTATCACTTGTTCTCCCTCCTCTCCGGGCTGCGAGGCACCCCGAGTTCAAGCAGTGGCGAAGCGTCTTGGCTCGCCTATAGGCCTATCAAGCAATGTTCTAAGAACGTGTTGTGGCTTCCACGAAATGTTCTTAGAGCAGTTCTGACCGGGACTGTCCTGTTGCAGCGCATTGGGCTCATGTTCTTAGAACCAGGTTCTTGCTCTTAAAACCTTTCTGGGTTCTTAGAACATGTCGTGGTGGGCCTATAGGAATTCCGGGACGGTCGGTCCCTGCTCAATGAGCAAGCCGCCGCCAAGCCGTGCAAGGGCCATCCTGGGCCCTAGGACGGTGCGTTGACCCTCCTACCCTCGGCCATGCAGTGAGAGCGCACCGCGCCAGAACCTGGCATGGCCCCGGCCAGGCACGATGGTGCGCAGGTGCATGCTGCGTACTTGGCGCGTCAGTTTTCCATCGATCGAAGACACAAAAACACATGAACATAAACTCGTGGCGCTCCGCGCGGATTTCTTGGATCCGCGCCTGGGCCCCCCCCGCGCCTCCGGCGCCGCCCCTGGCGCGCTCCGCGAGCCGGGGAGGAGGGTCCAGCGCGAATCCAAGAAATCCGCGCGGAGCGCCAAGAGTTTATCTTTAAGTACGTGATTGTTTCTTCTAACCGATGCTTGGTCACAGCACCTGGCGACGTCAGCATCGCTCTCGGGAGGGGGTACTCGCGCCGCACGCTTCCTTTCCCACTCCCACGGGCCTGCTCGCCGGCGGACGGGGCCGGTGGGTACGACCATGCTCTCTGCGTGTGTGCGGCGGGTGAGCGCCCGCTCTTTCCAAATTGCTTCGCACTCGGTGATACGCCGAAGCGATTAAGTATCCAGCTGCCTGCGGCAAGTCCCGCCACTGTGCCAGCCCAGCATTCAAGGCGGCCACAGTGGAAGAAGAAAAAACTACATAAACATAAACTTTTGGCGCTTCGTGCGGATTTCTTGGATCCGCGCTGGGCCCCCCCGGCGGCGCCTCCGGCGCCGCCCCTGGCGCGCTCCACGCGCCAGAGAGGGGGGTCCAGCGCGGATCCAGGAAATCCGCGCGGACCTCCAAAAATTAATGTTTGTGGCGTGTTTTCTTCCTCTACACAGGGTGCACGTGAGGCCGTGACGCTTGACACCCCAGACTTGCGATAGCCGCAACATGTGACACGTTTATCCGCGTCGTGTCGGGGTTGTTTTTCTCGTCCTGGTCGTAGTCCTGCTTTTCTTCCGTCCCATCTTGGGCTCCCGTGGGGCAGTCTTGGGAGTTTCCCTGCGCCACCTTGGGCCGTCTTGGGTTCCTCTTGGTAACTCTCTCTGGCCGTCAGCCGGCCTTGTTGGCCGTCAAGGGAGTATTATGTGGCCGTCGTGCGGCCGTCATGGGGATCTCGATGAGCTCTCTAAGGCCGTCTTGGGTCCGTCCAGGGGTCGTCTACGGGACCACCTGGGTTGTCGTCATGCCGCCTCGGAGGATTCCTGGGCCATTTTCGGGCCCTCCGGGGTGCCTTGGGGCTGGGGCCTTTTGTGGGCCGCCTTCGCTTTGAAGGACTGCCCCGAGAATGGCATTTATACCATGCGTTGTTCGTCTGCCGCCGCGTTGGCTCAAGGCAGCGCCGCCCTATTAGCCTGTGTGGCTGGCCCCGCCTGCTGCGTACGATCTGCAGCGGCCCGGAAGGACAAAGGCCGTTGTGTTCTCCGCGTCGTCACTACCGGCATCGTATCCTTGACCTTACCTTTCCGCCCCAAGATGCGATGGCAACTCTCGCTGGAACTTGGTGGCGGAGCTGTCGCACTCGCGGCAGCTCTGCTCAGGTCCGCCCTCGGCGTGATGACGTTCGATTTCGCCTACGCCAACTACCATCAGCGCGGTGGAGGGTACCTTGAGTCCAATGCCCCCCCCCAGGCTTTCTGTCCATCGACGTCGCCGCTGCGTTCCTCCGCCAGCTTATTGTCAAGCCTGTAGCACCAGCGCCTTCCAGATCTTGTTTGAGTTCTTTGCGCTCCTTGCGATGGCCACTGCCCGGAATTCCACGGCCGCCAACTTCGCGCGATTTTGTCTCTGCGCGGGAGGATCGCTGGATCACTTGAGGAGGCCATCGCGCGGACGAGCGACACGAAACGCGACGCGCTCCTGCCTCGGCCCATCGCGAACAATCTCGTGCCAGAGGAGAGTCCCCGATCAGACATGGCTGGGAAATCTTGCAACGATCCCCGCTGAGGGTTTTACCGAAGTCACTCGGCGGGTAGACATCGCCCACCCGCGCACGAGCCCGCGCCCGCGCGCCGAGGAGGCGTCGCGAATCAAGGCGCTGGGCACCAGCAGGCAGCTGACTTCTGGGTCGGGCGGAAAGAAATTCATGGGGTGACAGGGAATAATATCTAGATCTTTACGTCATAAAGCAAGTACGTTCGGCGCTTCTGCGAGCACAAGTTCAAATCGGCAATTGTGTTCAGTAGAGGAGAGGTGTTCAGTCGTTGTTCAACAAGTCAGCACGGCATCCACCATTCGCAATAGTTCTGTTATGTCTCAAATACAGGATACTGGCGTTCCTTGAGGCCCTCCCCGAAGCACGTTGCGGGGAAATTCGCGCTGGGCAGAGAACTGACTCGCGTCGTGGGTCCGGAAAGATTCACAAGTCATATGCTACTGTGATCAAGTGACAGATCGAATCCTTTGACCACGTGGATTTCAGATTCGAAATTCACTCGATTGTTGTTGCGGGGCGATTGGAATGGAAAGCCGTTGGTCAGCTTAGATATATCTTGGTTACTGACGCAAGCGCGACAGCCAGCGCGAACATGGCCGAGGGCACTACACGCGAAGTCCGCGGGGCAATGCGTTGAACGCCGTCAATATTGAAATCCATTCAGAATGGATATGTTATTTAGCGGCGGAATGATTCATATTACATGCGCACTAAGGTCTCATGTGCACATTGTCTCGAAAAGGCGGCCAGTAATGCTACCTCAGGGGTGTTTTTTAACGTATATACATAATGCTAGCGTAAATGCATCATGCGCGCGGCGAATGCACGCGCGTCTCTGACAGTAGAATTTGTAATTTGTTAGGGCCAAGCGTCAGGGAAGCATGCCGGATGCGCGAGTACGCTGGCTGTTCTTTCAAGCGCGCGAGCGCGATAGAGAAGCGGCCGCTTCCACATCTTGACCTCGTGCGTTTCGAGTTTTGGAACTGAAGTCAGAAACTTCGCGCGCGCCCAACTTGCGCAAGCGGCCCAGTGTTGTCTCCAAAGGTGAATTCTGAAAGTGGTAGATGATTGGGGGGCGCGCCCAGTCAGCGCGTCGCCGCACTATTCGACAGATGAAATCCGATGGCCGTTGACTACAGGTCTCCGCCATCGTGCAATGCGTAGCATATCCGATTAATACGACGAACACTTCAACACTCAGACAACCATCCCATCGCATAGATACATGCGTCTCCGACAGTTGCTTCGACCACTGTCGCGTGAGAGCAAGCAAACCCAACGCAACAGACATCCGCACCGGTCGCGCAAGTGCGCGAAGCGCAGCAAATCCGAATGCTACGGCTCCCGGGTACAAATATATAAATTAGATTTCGCGATTGATCAATTCGTTTTGATATCGCCCCCCATTCCTGCTCGGAAAAAAAAAAACAGAAGCAACGACGTTTCGTGCAAGCCGCGCAAGTAACTCACAGCAAACTAGCGGAAGCCACGGGCGAGAAGGAGCGCGTTAGTTGCGTCGCCTTACTCGCTGGCAGCGCAGCCATCCCCCGTGCCTTGCGCGGCTTCGAGGACTTCGATGAGTCGCGACACTGTCAGAAACGCTTTCTGCGCGGCACCAGCGCCGAGGACGCACTTCGAGCCATCCCGCTTAGATTAGAAGAGACAGAGGATAGCATGGGCCTCGGGTCCACGACCTGCGACCAGGGGTTCGAGGCCGCCGGATACCTACTCGC